ATAAAATGTTGCCCAAGTGACCTCAAGGCCAAGGGTAGCCGTGATGGAGCCACCTTCTTGAGCCGCATATGAAACAAAAACAAGAGTCATGAGGAGCACAGAGGGAGAGAAGGAAAGAGTACAAAGAAGCAAAAGGGAGGCTATAAAATTTCAGGAACAAAAGCAGCTCACTGGTCATCATGCATGTTCAGGGCTTTCTGGACCTGATTTGGGGCTGCAGGCTTCTCAGCAGCCTGGCTGCACTGCCCGCACTTGTCCACAGAGCCAGGTCTTTGCAGTGCATTGCCCTGCTCCTGGCTCAAGTAGGTCACAACCAGGAGAAGCTCCTATGGTAACGAAGGGCTATTCCTGACACCACACAAGAAGGGTGGGCCGAAGCTGGTACTGCCCAACCACAGGGGAATAAGCCCACTACTGGGCAACATGTCTGCTTCGATTCATCACCTCTTGAGCCTAGACACCACTCCTGGGGGTGTCATCTCTAGCGGAGGACTAACCTAGCTGTTCACCATCAACCGTCCCAGAGCTGCTCCCATCAGGAACTCTAACAACCAACCTTGCTCAAGAGTACCTTTCCTAAAACTCTTAGGAAAAACCCTGGCAGTATACTCCACTCCTGCCTCAAATGTTTTCAACTTGGGCCCGGCGCGATGGCGCAAGTGGTTAAGGTCCTCGACTTGCATGCCTGGGATCCCATATGGGCGCCGGTTCTATCCCGGCAGCCCCACTTCCCTTCCAGTTCCCTGCCTGTGGCCCAGGAGAGCAGTCGAGGACAGCCCAAAGCTTTGGAACCCTGCACCCGCGTGGGAGACCCGGAAGAGGTTCCTGGCTTCTGATCCGCATAGCATAGGCCGTTGCGCTCACTTGGGGAGTGAATCATCGGACGGAAGATCTTCCTCTCTGTCTCTCCTCTCTGTATATCCGCCTTTCCAATAAAAAATAGTAAAAATAAATCTTAAAAAGAATGTTTTCAACTGACTCACTTCAACATTTGAGGTTTTTTTTTTTCAAGGTTTCAGAATTAGTTAGGTATATACTAAATTATTCTATAATCCAAAATTACATGTAAGTTTGTTCACCACTTTATCCAAAACTATGGCACAGTTTGCCCTAGACAGTGAGTGAATGCTCCAAAAACACTTGGAGGGGGGCCAGCCTTGTGGTACAGCTGGTTAGGCCTCATGTGCCACACCCACACCCCATATCAGTTGAATTGTGGCTTCTCTGCTTCCAATCCAGCAACTTGTTAATGTTTATGACCCAAGCACTTGGTTTCCTGCCACCCACATAGGAGACCCAGATGGAGATTTTGGCTCCTGGTTTTATCCTGGCCTAGCCCTGGCTGTTGCAGCCCTTTGAGGAGTAAGCCAGTAGGTGGAAGATTCCCCCTACCCTCCTCTCCCTCTCCTTTACCCATAGATAAAGAAATCTTCATTAAAAAAAAACTTGTTTTATACATGGAAGGATGAGAAAATCAAGAGGCATAATGAAGAACAGATTCCATGGCCGGACAACCCGGATTAGACTCTCATATTTCCCACTTGAAACTTCAGAATTCAGATGAACCCTTAGAATTCTGATAATAATTTTATGTGTATTATCTTTTATTATTCATATAGTCCATTATATAGTTTTGCAGGCAGAGTTTCTCCCCTTTCCGCCTCCCTCTCTCCTCCTCACCTCCCCCTGTATTTTACAATAAAACAGTCCTTCAGCTGCAGTCACAACTCCAGTGCTTTGCTCTTTACATGTGTCATGACATTACAGGCACAGACAATGGTGGAGAATCTAGTATCCTGTTGTCAAGGTATATTAATTGTTTTATTGGAGGTCTTTTTAATGTACATTATCTTAACGTTCCTTTTCCCCCAAAAATACTTTAAGATATTGCTTTCCCTCAATTTTACACTTAGTGTCAACTTAAGCAACTTGCTTAAGGTCAGAAGATGAGTAACTTCAAACCTAAGCCCCTACAATCCAATGGTAAACCGCTGCTTACCACTGACTTAGGGGAAAAGATGGAAGCATTCATTTTGTTTCAGATCGTTGTTCTGAAGATTGAGATATCTTTGGAAAGTGCTGAGCACATTGCCAGACCCAGCAAGATGCTCAAAGGTGTTTATTATTAGAGATCCTACACACGGAATCCATAGTGAGATGCTTCAAAGAGAAGAACTTTCAGTTCTCTACACTACACATCTTCTGGAAAATAGCCATTTACAAGATCTAGGCAGCGAATACAACACGAGAAGATGATAACCAATATTCATCTTGGATACAGCCTAAAACCTCCACAAGGAAATAGAAGAAATCCTTTGCAAGCCAGAAAGCAATGACCATATTTGAGGTTAGGGGGCGCCATGCTGCTGTAGGATATAGGAAACCACTTCTCCAATAGGGCTTCAGCACCCCAGCCCTTCTTACCAACAAAGATAAACAAGCAGATAAACTCTGACCAGTAACTATTTCTCTGGCAGGCAGAAGCACTTTCTAATATTTATTTCTGTCCTCTTCCACAACTTCTTTTTTTTTAGGTTCAGTACATGTTTCTGTTTTTCTCAAAGCCTTCCCTATTGCTTCCCTCCACTAAAGGGGCTCATCGCCTCACTCAACAACCTCTAAAAATCCAGCAGAAAACAAAAAAGGAGTTAGGATGAACATTTTTATACACACAATCTCAAGAAATTCAAAATTATTTTTTAAAAAGTCTAAAATTGTTGAAACTGAGTGATGAGAGCTCATTATACTACCTTTTCTATTTTTACATTTATGCAAGCTTGAAAATAAAATATTCAAACATATCCCACCTTTAAAACACAATTTTTATAAAAATGTAAAACCAGCTTGATGTACTGTTGGAAGCAATACAACATGCAGGACTTGTTTAAGAGAAGAAAAAATAAGAAGTAAAAAGGTTAAATTAAGGTGAAACTTACATAAATCATTTGAAATGGAACGTGCCTCCACAATGCTATTAGAATAAACTACAAACAAGAGACGGCCAGCCACAATGCATCAAGAAGAGGACTTCTTCAGACAAGCAAATAAAACAATTTCACTGTACTAATTGCTTGCTCAAGTCTGGTTTGCATTTGGTTCTAATTGGCCAAGAAATATCTGAACTTGCAGGTGTTTTCCTGAAGGCAGGAATAAAGAGCTTTGTGCTAAAACAGCCAAAGTGAATCTAGAAATCTGGGAGATGTACTTCCTGTAGACTTGACCAATGTTCTCTTTTCAACTCAGTCACCTGCAGGCAGAGTTGAGTGCTTTCCCACCCAGAAGATAACCCATAACTGGATAATCACATCTAGGAATTGTTATTCCTTTCCCTGAGTTAACATAGTGTGTTCCGTTCAATGTGAGTTCATTCTAGTCTGAAGCTAAACAAAAATATTTAACTTTCAAATGTGCCAGTGACCTCTTGTTAGCCAATTAATTCTGGCTTCCCCCAGAGCAAATTTTGTTCCTAAAATTCTGGAGGGAAAATTCCTAATACCTGAGATAAGAAGGAACCTTTTAAAACACTGTTAGGAAGCCAACTGCTCTCCAGGGCGAAGCTCCCAGGGCCTAACATCACTGAAGGTAAGCCTCCTCCCCCTTTCTAGGAAACAAGTAAGACCTCTTACTACAAAAGCAAATCTCATAAAAAAAAAAAAAGACTTTTTAATACACCAAAGTGATGTTGGAAGAATAAAGAAAGACTTTAATATCATTCCTCTACAGAGTTCAGCTTATGGTAACTTCCCCCCCCCCAAATCAAAGCAAAATTTAGAAAGCAACATTTTCTTCTAAGATTCATTGTATGTGTATCCGCCAGTTGCAATACTTTCAGATTTCTAGACAATTCCTCCTGGGTTGAAAGTGGACAGCCATCTTTGGCTTCCGACTCCACTTACTCACCTCAACCCTCAGCTTCCAGTTTTTCTCCACTGCTCTGTTATTCAGAGTGCTCTATCATTTTGTGTGACAACTGAGACAACACCAGTTTGGCCTGCCACAGGATCTTAAATTGAGAAATGCTACATTTATTGTCTTAAGCATGGTACCCAGGCGAATGTTCAGCTTCCCTCTGGTGCAAGCCTGCTTCGCCTCTCTTGGGTTTCAGGAAACATTTCCCACAATTTTGAGTGTCTTCAGACCACCATACAAGCACAAGTCACTCAAAACTGACCAGGAAAAATGGGCTGGATTAGCATTTGAAGGCAAGAAAGAGGAGCAAGACTCTCCCAAAGGAACACACACACACACACACACACACACACGCAGCAACATCCGGATGAGTGTTCATACATTTCTGTCAGTGTACCTGTGTCTGTTTCCAAGATACATTACCAGCCAGGGAGTCACCTTCCAGCTCTGCGAACAAAAACATGGTTTCTTTCCAGAGCCAGCCACTTGCCCCCGCTCCCAAGGGCACTCACCTGCTTGTGCTAAGAGAATTTTGCCATCAGCTCATAATTGGGAAAAGGAAGGGGGATATGTAGGGTTCAGCACCCAGAATTTCCTGTCAAGCTGATGGTCTAACCGTGCTCTTCTCCAAGAAATCGAGGGCAGCCCGGAGCAGCACAGAGTTTTACCCTTTACTTTGTCCGTCTTCCTCCCCACACCTAACACCCCGCTGCAATAGCCCAATGGCCCCCCAAACTGACGTGCTTTTGTAAGAATCCCATCTGACCATCACGAAGGGCAATTGCACATGTCCCTCCGAATGAATACCATGTTCCTCACATCCCTTCCCGTCTGGATGTTGGTTAGCCATCCCGTCTGGATATTTCAACGTCAACAGGGGTCATCCGAGTCTCTTAATGTGGACCTTCTGACAGAGCAGCTGTACAGGGGACAAGGGGGAGTGTATAGGGTCCAAGAAAAACCTGGCCGATTTCTTGTTTAAAGCCTCAAACTCTCTCAGACCCCTGTGAAGGTGGTGAGCTGCAAACCGGAAAGGGCCTACTGCATCTGCCACTCCCGCCCCCCAACCTGCAGTGCTCGAGCCTCCCTACCTTGGACCTCTCCTTGACAAGGTATTTGCCCAGCCGGCTCCCGCAGTACAGAACCAGCCTGTCGATGAGTGACAGGAGGAAGTTGATGGCTTCGCAGCCCTCCTCGTTGCCTCCAATCCACGTGATCTGGTCCCCGCGCAGGTGCCGCTTAGAGACTCCTGCGCGCGGCCCCGCCAGCTGGCCATCCCTTAGGACTCCGTCCTGGTGCAGTTGCTTGACGCGCTTCAGCACGCAGTCGCCCACCACTTCGCCCAGGAAGTTGTCCAGGTAGCAGAAGCCCACCTCGTGCAGGCAGGGCACGATGTACTCTATGGCGATTTTCTCCAGATCCCGGTTCATGATGTGTTCCAAGGGCATCTCACCTGCAAGACGCAGAGCACGGATCCCCAACGTGCACGCACCGGGACAGCAACTCTGGGGAGCGCCAAGCCAAGGCGCGGGGAGCGGAGCCCGGGGTTCAGAAATCTGAAGCGGCCAAGGTCCCCGAGCCTCCGAACTACCGCAGCACCAGGGACAGGGGAAAGTTGTCTGCAATTCGAGCCCGGGGGGATCGCCACTCAGGGAACAGTGCGAGTCTTGCAGTGCTCCGCAACCCAGCGCAGGACCAGCCCGGTGAGGAGTCGGAGGACCCCTCTGTAGGTGCGGAGCCACCGCAGTGGCGGCCTGGGGCAGGGAGAGGCTGTGGTCCGGCCCTGGGGCCGGCGGACTCAGCACGTCATGGGCCCCGCCCTGAGACCGCCTCCGGGACCGCCCGCTCCGCCTCCTGCCCATCACCCAGCCGAAGCTGCCCTGGCCGCTGCCCCGGCCGGGAGGGCTCCCAGCGAGCTGCGCGCCGGTCTCACCGTTTGAGACTAGGGAAAAACCGAAGTAGAGATGGGCCTTTTAAAGCCGGCCCATCATTTGCATATTGTTTTGCATACAATCTCCAGGCAAATGGAAAACCTGAATCTTAACTGTTCAAGAATTGCATAACAAGCTTTCTTGCCTGCCGCGTTCTGGGTTGGTCCCATCACAGGGTTTTGAAAATAAACATGGTAACGAAGGTATTACCTGAAGAATGGTCTTGCTTTCCTTCATGGGGTCAGGCCGCTGAAGGGGAGGAATGCCGATTTAACACCAAGTACAGTGACAGACTCATTTAACTCCTACTGTGTGCTCACATGAAGGGGGGGGTGACTAAGGAAAAAACTCTGGGTTATAGCTGATTGAACACTGCAAATACTGCATTTTCCATTGCCGGATAATTCCATCTTCTTACTTTGCAGGAAGTAAAATATGATGCTTGGGACCGGCGGTGTAGCTTAGCGGCTGAAGTCCTCGCCTTGAACGCACCAGAATCCCATATGGACGCCGGTTCTAATCCCGGCAGCTCTACTTCCCATCCAACTCCCTGCCTGTGGCCTGGGAAAGCAGTCGAGGACGGCCCAAAACCTTGGGACCCTGCACCCGTGTGGGAGACCAGGAAGAGGGTCCTGGTTCCCGGTTTTGGATGGCGCAGCACCGGCTGCTGCGGTCACTTAGGGAGTGAATCATCGGATGGAAGATCTTCCTCCTCTGCATATCCGACTTTGTAATAAAAAAAAATAATAAACCTTTTTGAAAAATAAAATATGATGCTCTAGATTTCTACCTTCACAATCAGTGGTACACCTGTGGACTACAGACATGTTCTCCACCTCTCTACTCCCCAACTCCGAATCAACTAGGTCTCTTGCTTTTTCCATGAACAGTTGTACCCCGAAAGGAGAAAGGAACAGATACCACCTACAAGACATTTTAGTAATTCACAGATAAGTCAATTGCATTAAAGAGTTTTGACTTTGCACCCCACTGAACACCAGAAATCAGAATGGGATTGGAGAGGGCACATAAATTGTATGGAAAACCATGTCCATATTTTCAGTTTCACCTTAATATGGACTTGGCTTCTTTGTTGAACAAGAGAAGGAACTGGATTTTCAGGTATTGCTGATGTTGTATGCAATTCTCCACAACTTTTTTCACTTTCACTCCTCCATAGCACAGTGCCTTCTGCCTCTGAGAAGAGAAAAAGAATCAAATGGGGACCAAGGGGGCATAGGGGTACCCGGGAGGAGATGTCTCTTGGCCCAGGGTTTAAGACTGTGAAACTGCTTCATCCCCGGAAGCTGGTAAGTCATAGGTTCACACTTTCAGCAGGAGGCGCCACTACTCAAACCTTGCAAGAGCCAGTGCTCAAGGAACCTTCAGGTGAATTCCAGGACAGGAATCCCAACATGTAGTCCGGGATAGGTACCTCACAAACACTTCCTGGGAACCCAATATCTGATCCTGAATCACAGCTGGATTCTGGGACAAGATGTCTAGTAGAAACAGGGACCTGGAGAGGTTCCCCAAGATAATTCACTGAAAGAGATTGCCAGCCAGACTAGCGTGGCCCAGAACAAAACCTCAGCAGCCGGAGAAGGCAAAGGGGAATTCTCAAGGGCGTCTGTCTCTTGGCTTTCTCTCCCTATCCAGTCGTGGTAAATATTTGCGCCCTGGACACGGAGACTTAAAGTAAAAACTGGAGCCCTGCTCACTTGTATCAAGAAGTGAAATGACGATGAATCACCAGACAGAAACAAGGCCCTTTCCTCCTATTTCTGCTGGACCCTCTCCCACCCCAAGTAATCAAGAACCACTCTGGTCCCCTCCTGGAATCTCCTCTAGCCAACTCCGGATGATTGGATGGCCAGTTGATGTCCAAACAGGATTGGCCTGATTGTGAGCCCTGATAAGCAGTGGCTAATGATCTTTGTCATTTTGGAGTCAATGTAGACCTCAGAAGGCCTCGTGAGAATGCCTCAAAGGGACGAGAACTGACAGGGGAAGCAGTGACAGATAACCCTTGGTCACTTTCTTAGTAGGTAGGATTGACTGCTAGGAATGACAATAAGGGAATTTACACAGACAGCAACATAAATCTGTAGTAACTAGTAAAACAGGAGGAAAGAAAGAGAGAAAGGAAAGAAAGGAAAGAAAGGAAAGAAGGAAGGAAGGAAGGAAGGAAGGAAGGAAGGAAGGAAGGAAGGAAGGAAGGAAGGAAGGAAGGAAAGAAAGAAGAAAATTATATACTCACTTTCTGGAATGAACATACTGGGTGACCCAGGACTTTAAACTCCAGGACTAGTGAGCTTTTGGTGCAGTAGTTAAGCTACTACTTGGGACACTAACAGTCCTTTACCAGAGTGCCTGCTTCATGGCCCAGCAATTGCACTGACAATCCAGCTTCCTGCTAACACACACACATACCCTGGAAAGCAGCAGGTGATGGCTCACATATTTGGGGGTTCTGCCACCCATGTGGAAAAAGTAGATTAAGTTTCCAACTCCTAGCATTGACTTAGATCAACCCTGGCTATTGCAGGCATTGGGGTAGTGACACAGCAGATGGAAGACTTCTCACTGCCTCCCTGCCTTTCAAAAAAAATGGTAAAAAATGCTTCAGTACTTTTAGAGAGAAATAATAAGTCTAGCTCCACGTAAAGCAATAGTCGGGGCAAATTCTGGTGACTGGTGGCCTTCAATTGCTCTAGATTATTTTCATTGCAAGGCATGGGCAGTTTAAAGAGCAATTTGATCTCTTGGTGCCATCCCTGCCTAGCAAGGACACTCGTTAATCAATCAAGGACTGTCCAGTCAGCTCAAGCTGCAAACACTACCTTTGGCAGAGGAACCAAAGAGAGCATGACTGGCAAAATCATAGTTTGTGATTACACACGCAGGTGCAGAAGGCTGGAGTCAGGCATGGGCTTTGAGTGTGAGCTCCCGGGGAATAAACACAAGCTCCTTGTCAACATGTGTTTGCTTTTGTTACTTGTTCATTCAGTTTTGTCATTATGAAAATGAACAGTAAGAACCTTCTTGCAGAAAATGATGCTACAGTATGATCTATGAATCACTGAAAAATTTAATCAGAAGAAAGTGTTTTGAAGAGATGAAAGTAACAGAAAACATCAAAACCCATGCAATATAGTCTCCACTGATTTTTGCTGGTGAAATGTGTCTCCAGCAGGCAACAAATATATGTTTTTTTTTTAAAATCCAGCTACTAATCTATGATTTTGATTGAACTTAAGCCATTTACATTCAGGGTTAATATGTATGGGTGGTACTTTGGTCCTGTCATTTTAGGAATGGGCTGTTCTTGATTTTCATTTCTTCAGCTACACGTTAGTGATTTAGTAGCATGTTATTTAACTTCATGGTCTTGTTAATTTCTTTTTTCTTCCTGATGTTGATTTTTGTTTTGTGGCTTTTCATTTAAGGAGATGTATAGTAGCTGTGTAATGGAGACTGTCATATCTAGTAACATGTTATTTAACTTCATGGCATTGTAAATTTCTATTTTTATTCCTATTGTTAATTTTGTATTATGACTTTTCATTTGAGGGGATCTACAGTAGCTGTGAAATGAGGACTAACATGCCCAAATGTGAGGCTACAATGTAGTATGCATCTCTACTTCCAGACAAAGATGGAGTTACAATGAAACTGTTTACTATATCTTGACAATAGGATGCTGGACTCTCTGCCATTGTCCATGCCTGCAATGATGGACATATGGCTATGAATGAAGAACTATACTTTAGTAATGATATAGAGGAACTAGTGGGGTGGAGGGGGGGGGAGAAATATGAGGAGGGAATAAAGGAAATACCAGGAGCCTATGGAACTGTATCATAAAATGATAATAATAATATTAATAAAATGTAAAATGTGAAAAAAAGAATGAACAGTAAAACAGCATGGAAGTTAAAAAAAATTAATGTCCCTGCCATGAACTTACATCCACTTTGTCTTCCAGGGTGTGTCTGCTGTCCAGATGCAGTCATGCTTAAATCTGTAGAGGAGAGGAAGGAAAGATGTTGAGTTTCTTTGCCTTAGAATTTGGAGTGAAAGGGATCTTAGTTGCCTCCAGGTCCAACATCATCATCCTGCAGATGGGGAACGAAGATGCAGCGGGTTGGACACTAGTAACTTTCTCAAGGCAGAAGTTTCAGGGAGGTGCAGGAAGAAGCCTCTGCCTTCTCTTCTGTAAAATGACAGCATTTTCACTTTCCTGTTTATGCATATTTTTAGATAAGGTGAAGTTTACAAAACATCAAATTAACCATTTCATAGGAAACATTTCAGCAGTATTTAGCACATTCACAAAATTGTATGGCCACCACCTCTAATCCCAAAATATTTTGGCCACCTTGAAAGAAAATACTCCACCCAGTAAGCATTTACCCCTATTTCCTCATCTCCCAGACCCTGAGAGCTGCTGAGCAGCTTTCTGTCTCCATGCGTTGGTCTATTCTACGTATTTTCTACAGCTAGAGTTCTGTGATCTTTGCTGATTGCACTCTTCCACTTAGCATAGTGTTTTCCTTTTTCTAAAGATTTGTTTTATTTTAACGTGTAGAAGAGAGAGGTGGGGTGGACAGATACAGATCTGTCATCCATTGGCTAAGCCAGACCAATGCCCGGAGCCAGCAGCTTCTTCCAGGTCTCCATTTTGGGTATTGGGACATGCATATGTACACACTTGACTACCTGTTTTCAACTCTTCCTGGCCCATACCTGTGAGTAAAAATTTTAGGCCAAATTTAGCTTGTTTTCTTTAAAGATAACTAATTTGAAAGGCCTCTCCTTCCAGTTACAGAGGGAAGGCGAGATCTTCCAACTGTTGTTCCAACTGTTGGTTCACTCCCCTAAATGATGCAATGGCTGGGACTGGACCAGACCCATACCAGGAGCCAGGAACTTCATCCAGGTATGAGTGGCAGGGGCCCAAACACTTAGGCCTGCTTCTGCTTTCCCAGGAACTTTAGCACGGAGATATAGGGTATAAATAGGGTATCCAGGGCTTGAACTGACTCTCACATGGGATGCCAGGTCACAGGTTGCAGCTTAACTTGCTGTGCCATAATGCCTGCCCCTATGCTTAACTTTCTGAAGAGCTGCCAAACTATCTTCCATAACAGCTGTACTATTTTACTCTAGAAATATGGAAGGGGCACTATCAGCTTTAATTCTATTTCTGAAGAGAACACTCCACATTTCTTCTGTCCTGTCACAAATTCTGCCATCCAGAGGTTCCCTCCCACCTATTGTACCTGAATATTCTTTTTTGTGTTTTAGCACATCAACAAGAGATCTGTTGTCATTATTTAGTGACATTAACATGTGCAAGGTCAATCTTATTTACTGGCTAGCCAAACATTCATAACATTTGCTACTGTGCAAAAATAGGTATTGTTAGCATTATTATTATTCATTGGAAAAAAGACAAAATCGAGATATAGAGAAGCTAAGGATCTTGGCCTAGGTCACACTGGGAGACCAAATTTAAGAGACTTCAGTATAGGAAGATCATGGGGAAAAATCATTCCGTGCCATTTGTTTAGCGTAGAAATGGTATCATCTTCAATTACTCCTTTTTAGTTGTTTTTTTTTAATTAGAACACATTCATCTGTGATGAAAAAAATTTAATAATTAGCTTATCAATACACCCATTATTGAATGGGCATAAACAAAACCATCAACTGATTAGTTAACCTCATTAAGAGTCATTTTACAAGCAAAAAATTCGGATGTGCTTTGCCTCAGCTAAGGCCCAGGGGCTTCCAGGGATCAAGCATAAATTCAGTGATGTAACCTGAGAGCTGGTGGTAAAGAACCAGTCTGCTGGGGTGAATGGTTCGCCCCTCAGGACACAGCAGGGGAGTTCACTTCCATGGAGTTGGTGAAACCAGAAAAGACGGAATACATGACCTTAGCTCACATCTGATCATGTTTCTTTCCTTGTGGAGTCTAACTCCTTCCCAGCTCATGTAAGATTGGCAAAGAAAGTGAGTTTCTATTTCTACCAGCTCCTCATTGTTTCTCAGGATAAAGACAAGCGTCAGCTCCTCTTGGGCGCTCTTTGATAATTCTGGCCATGCTCAGATACAGGGAAGTGTGATCTATCAGAAACACTCATTAATATCTTCCAATCCAAGTCTCACTGAAGCTGAAAATGTCTAAAAAGCATTTCCAGCAATCATGAAAATAGAGCAGTGTCAAATTTTAATATGAAGCATTAAAAAAAAAACACTTCTGTTTAATTTAAATAAAGCTTTTCTGAAGGGATTTCTAGTCAATAGAATTTTATCTAACATTGTGTGCTTTTTGAAGACTGAAATTTTCAATTTAGGATAGTTTTGGATTTATAGGAAAGTTGTGGAGATCTATTTATATGTTCCCATATTACTCATACCTGGTTTTCCCTATGGTTAACACCTGATATTAGTGTGAAGTATTTATCATAATATATGGACCAATATTGATGTATTGTTATCAAATAAAGTCCTAATTTTATTCAGACTTCCTTTACCTTTACTAATGTAAAGCATTCTGTTGAAACTTGTTCCCAGATTGAAATAAGTTCATTCCTGGTCAGTCTTCCCAACTCTATAGCCCCATCAGAAACCAGTCCAGAGTAGCCAATGAAGGCAGGAATGGACACCTTCAGCATAGGCCTTTTTCCCTTCCTATCAGCTCATCCCAGCAGCTCTGTGTGGTTGGCACCATTGAGAAGCACTTTCAGCCTGTGGGGCTCTGGTGTCTGGCCCTGCCTGGCCCTTTTACTGGCCTGGCGGTGGGAGATGGGAGCAGTAGGTTCCCAGGGGCCTGGGCGACACTGTCATATCAGCTCTGGAACTGGTGCATCAGCTTACCCCTGCCCTTGCCCCACAGCAAGAGTCTCATGGCTCCAGGATGCTAGGTCTCAAAACCAGAACATCCAACAGAGTCATCCAGTCAGCTTGTGAAAACATAGACTGGAAAATCCCTGGCCTGTGTTTCTGATCCAGCAGGCCTGGTGTGGCCCTGGGCAACGTGCCTTTCTCCCAGCTCCCCACCACGTCTGCTGATCTGGAATGACACTCTGAGGGTCACTTTTCTAAGCCAGTCAGTTCTCTGCCCTACCCAGGGGATTGTTAGTGAAGCATGGGCAGGGGGCTACACCAGCCAGATCCAGGGGCTCAGTCCCCTTGTTGTACATGAGAACCCCTTGGAAACTCTGGCAATAGGTTAGTGCAGGATCCCTACCCCAGATTAACAAATGAGCACTTTTAGGGGTAAGACCTAGGTATGGGCTCTTTAAAAGGCACAATAAATTATACAACAATGGTAATACATCAGTCAAACATCTGGCGATTTTCATGGGCGGCAGTAGTGGGAACCTGGGGTCTGAATGAACTGAAGAATTCATACTGGAGGGAGTAGTCCTCTCGTGTCTGTCTTCCATGCTGGACTCAGAAAGGAAAACAAACAGCCCTGGGGCCTCGGGCAGGCATCTCACCCCCCAGGAAGGGCGCTGGTCTCAGGATGAAGGCAACACAGAGGAAGGCACGACAGGGTGTTGGAAGAACTCGGGACCTTAGTGACATCAAGGGGCTGCTTATCTCCCTGTTCCTGGAACCATACCTACCTCTGGACTTCCAGCGACATGAGATAATATGTTTCCTCATGTCCAAGGTGAACTGAAGTCTGTTTACAGCAGCTAGCAGTCAAAAACATTCTAGCAAACAAGTCCTGAAAAACAGGTATTTGCTCTGAAGCGTCTTTAAAAAAAAATACATAACCTCTGCTCTCCTCTGGTCTCCGGGCTGTGCCTGCTACATGTCCACTGCACACTGCCGGGGACCAGCTCTAGAGAACAGATAGGCAAGGTGATGCTCCCACGGCAGGTTGCAGTCAAGATGTTGCATCTCCAGGCTGTGCATTTCCAGCCCTAAAGTGAGACTGGGGATAATTCTTTCCTCCCTAAGGTAGGAAATAACCAGGCAGAACCACATACTTGTTTAAAGTTTCTGGCAGTGCCTGCTGCAGTGACTGGTAGCCATGGAGGCTGGAGTGCTGTGCAGTGGCTGGTAGCAGTGGTTTGGGCAGCGGCCAGCTGCACAGCATCAGGTACTTCCCCCATTGTCAGATGCCAGGCACTGCTTGGCTCTGGTAACTTTGCCACCAGAAGCGCCAATGACTTGGTGCAGATCCTTATCTCCAGGTTGCCATACCTTCCCCATTTTGTTCCTCCCCAACCTTTTAACTCTTTCTCAAATCTTTCCAAGGGTTTTTGTGATTGATTCTTCACACTGAAGTCCCTCTGCTTAGTATGCCTTGTGCTAGCATTTGTTTTTGTTTGGTCTCCCAAAGGCCCACGTGTTACAGGTTTAGTCCCCCAAGTCTCATGTTAGTGGGTAACAGACTCAGGCTAATGGCTAATGAAGTGAGGCTGGAGACAGAAGGCAATCCCAGAATTGGAAGCTGGCCTTCTGGGAAGTGATTCGACTGGATTAGTTGCTGGGATGCAACCTTGAGATGGTGGCTTTATAACAAAAGGTCACATAGACACAGATGAACCTGCACCCTGTGTAATTCCTAGGTCACTGTGCGGTGGTCTGCAGGCACTCTACCCACCACCACCACAATCCAACACCAAACTATGGGGCTGCCTGAACTGTGCACCAAACCTTTGTCAGTAGCTTGTCTCAAGTACTCAGTTGCAGCAACGAAAAACTAAATACATCTAATAGCGATTTCAATTTTACCAACTAGACAGTGACAAATAGCCACATAAGACCTCCATGTCCATCTTGAACTCACTGGCAAATTCTACGAAGTGCTATTGTCCAATTCTAACTATAGACTGTCCTTGCTTTCTCCACCATCACCACCGCCAACCAGTCCAGCTCCCATCATCCCCTCCCCAGATGAATGTCCACCCCGGCCTCCTGCCGCCTGACCTCCCTGTTTCTGTACTTGCTCACGGCAATCTATTGTACACACAGAAACCAGATCAGCTCTCCTAAGACACAGGTATTTTTTTTTTTTACTGCAGTTCCTTATTTCCTTTTGATTCCTATCAAAACTTGATATGCTGGTTGGTTTGTTTATGGCAAGGGGTCTGTTTTGTATCTATCTTAGCCAATAATACTAGGGCAAAGATGTACAAACAACAGTAGTTCAGTGTCTGGCACAAATCAGGCATCCAATGAATGCTCTGCATAATTAGCCTTTTTCCTATTCACACATGAAATGTCATTTCAATAAATTCTGTATCGCTGATGTCTAGAATGTTTTTCTTTAGAAACAAATCTACAAATTTAAATCTAACAAAGTCAAAAGAAAAATAAATAAACATTTTTGGGAAACAAGTCAAACTGATAAAAAATAAAGAACCACGCATCCTTCCCACGGCAGAGAAGCAAAGCTTTCCCTCAAATCAGATTTGGTCAAAATGCTTCTGTTGATAAAGTTTGCTTTTGCCTAAACTGATTTTACTCTTTTAGTTAAAATAGATTCAGTTTCCTAAGCTGGTTTCCAGGGCATGTTTGAGGAAGATAGTCAGGGAATTTTACTTTGAATTCAATCTCATTCTTAAAACACATTTAGGGCCCGGCGTGGTGGCGCAGTGGTTAAGGTCCTCGCCTTGTACGCCCGGGATCCCATATGGGCACCAATTCTAATCCTGGCAGCCCCGCTTCCCATCCAGCTCCCCGCCTGTGGCCTGGGAAAGCAGCCAAGGATGGCCCAAAGCCTTGGGACCCTGCACCCATGTGGGAGACCCAGAGGAGGTTCCAGGCTCCTGGCTTTGGATTGGCTTAGTTCTGACCGTTGAGGCCACTTGGAGTATAAACCAGCAGATGGAAGATCCTCCTCTCTGTCTTTCCTTATCTCTGTATATTTGGCTTTCCAATAAAAATAAATAACATAAAATAAATAAATCTTTTTAAAAAAGTGATACATGGGCTGACACTCTGGCGGAGCAGGTTACACTGTAGCTTGTAGTACCAGAATCCCATATGGGTATCAGTTTGAGTCCTGGTTGCTCCACTTCTGATTCAGCTCCCTGCAAATATGCCTGGGAAACAGTGGAAGACTGTTCAGTTACTTAGGCCCTTAGACCCACATAGGAGACCCAGAAGGAGCTCGTGACTCGTGGTTTGGCTCTGGCCCAGTTCCAGCTAGTGAGGCAGGCCATTTGGGAAGTGAACTAGCAAATGGAATCTCTCTCACTCTCTCCCCACTACGGCAGTAACTCTGCCTTTCAAGAATATAAAATTAATCCTTAAAAAAGCTAAATAAATAAATAAATCTTTTTAAAGATTTATTTTATTTTTATTGCAAAGTCAGATACACAGAGAGGAGTAGAGACAGAGAGGGAGATCCTCTGTCAAATAACTCACTTTTCAAGTGACCTCAACGGCCTGAGCTGCGCCAAGCAGAAGCAAGGAGCCAGGAGTCCCTCTGGGTCTCCACAGGAACCTGCAGGAACTCAAGTCTTTGGGCTATCCTCAACTGTCCTCCCAGGCAACAAGCAGGGAGCTGGATGGAAAGTGGGGCTGCAGGAACCAGAATCGGTGCCCATATAGGATCCTGGTACATTCAAGGCAAGGGCCATAGCCACTACGCCACCACGCCGGGCCCAAAATAAATCTTAAAAAGAAATGGGGGTAGAGGTGGGACTCCAGCCGAGGATCTCCTATGCGAGATGTGAGTGTCCCAAGTGCAAGCTAACACTTCACAACAATACCTGCTCCCCTTCAGCTATTTTTATATTTATTAAAAGGAAAAAAATATAAAAGAATAAAACCACAAGAATTTATAATCTTACTTTTTGAACCTTTAATCAGTTAGGTCTTAACTAGTTTTGTCTTCAATTCCAGAGCTCCGATGAACAGATTTTACAGTCATAAAATAATTGAAGGATTCGGTGCGATGACTCAGTGAATAAATTCTCACCTTGCATGCATCAGGATCCCGCATAATTGCCAGTGTGTGACCCAGGTATTTCACTTCCCATCCAGCTCCCTGCCTGTGGCCTGGGACAGCAGTGGAGGACGGTCCAGAGACTTGGAGACCCTGCAACCACATGGAAGACCCAGAAGAAGTTGCTGGCTCCTGGCTTCTGACCAGCTCATCTCTGGCCATTGAGGCCATTTGGGGAGTGAACCAGCAGATGGAAGATCTTTCTCTCCGTATCTCCTTACTTCTGCCAATCGGAATTGCCTTTCCAATGAAAATAAACAAACCTAGAAAGAAAGAAAGAAAATTAAAAAAAAGATAGAAAGAGAAAACGGAGGAGGAAGGAAGGAATAAAGGAAGGAGGAAAAAAGAAAGAAAATAGCAGAAGAAGGTAGAAACAGGAACTGAGACACTGGTCATTTGAAAGTTCCTTCCCTTGTAAGGCAGGAACAAGGAAACAGAGAAACAGGGGAACAGCTAACTAGTTCCCTTCGGGTCCACCTTCTGCAGGAGGATTTAGGCAGTGAGTACTTCATTGTCACGCGAACTGAAACTGGCCTGTTCGGGAAATTTGCCTGTTACCTCAGAAAGTCAGATAAACAGCTCCCCTTCAGCTTGGAAATATGAAAACTTGGGTGTCTCCAAGTTGACATTTAGTTTGATCTGTTGGGGTCTAGTGCAGGAACTTAGTTCCAAACAATGGCTTTAGATGGCTTTTTATTTAGGAAAGGAGAAGGAGGAAGGAGAAAATTAGGCTAGTAAATGAAATGTCTTACTGAATACAATGGTGTTACTCTTAAGCCTGCCCCTCCATTTTCAAGTGTTCTCTCCTGCTTTTGTTTCTGTTCTTGTAATGATTTAAAACACACACACACACACACACACACACACACACACACACACACACACACACACAAACTCTCTCTCCCTCTCTCTCTCTCTCTCTCTCAAAGGGACATGTCTTCGGTGCAATAGCTGTTCAGCCACTTGCTAGTTCACCCATGAACCATATTGAAGTGCGTGGGTTCAAGTGCCATCCTACTGAGACTCCAGCTTCTTGGGAGGCCACAGTGTTTGGGCCCTACCATCCATGTGAGAGTTCTGAACTGAGTTCCATCTCTTGGCTTGCTATCAACTTTTGGGAGGATGGGGAGGTGGGCAATCAGTGGTAGACGGGTGGATAGGAACTTATTGTCTTTCTTGTCTGTGTCAGATATATATATTTTTAAATTTTATTTATTTTTAATGGAAAGTCAGATATTCAGAGAGGAAGAAAGACAGAGAGAAAGATCCATCCACTGGTTCACCCCCAAAGTGCCTGCAACAGCCAGAGTTGTGCCAATTTGAAGCCAGGAGCCAGGAACCTCCCAGGTCTACCACGTGGGCACAGGGTCCCAAGGCTTTGACCTGTCCTGAACTGCTTTCCCAGGCCACAAGCAGGGAGCTGGATGGGAAGTGGAGCTGCCAGGATTAGAACTGGCGCCCATATCTGATCCTGGCGTATTAAGGAGAGGATTTTAGCTGCTAGGCTACCAGGCCCTCTCAAATACATTTCTAAAAATAAATAACACATTAAAAATGAACACTTAACTTCACATCTTCATTTATGCAGCTAGGTCTTTCTTCATCCTCCTCAAAACACGCACCTCCAGAACTCCTCAGGCGAAGCTCTATTTGTCAAGTACAAAAAGGAAACAGGGAAAGTGAATATCTATGTAGATTTCAAAACATAAAGACTGCTCAGAGTGCTGCTTGCTTCCAAGCTGGGGAGTTCAGTGAATGTCCTGCAAACACCTTCAGTGAATTGGAATCTTCATGATGAACATGAAAGGATGAGGAGTTGGGTCATAGGGAGGGGTCAGTAAAACCAGGGAAAGCAAACAATGCCTAGAGGGGTTGGGCAGATTGAGCTGCTTAAGGTCACATCAAGGGTGGGAAGAACTGGGCTGACTATAGGCAGAGAAGTGAGATGTAATGCATGATAGTTACTGGACAAAATAAATATTTAAAAAAGGGGGTTGGCACAGTAGCCTAGTGGCTAAAGTCCTCATCTTTCACACACTGGGATCCCATATGGGTGCCAGTTTTAATACCAGCAGCTCCACTTCCCAACCAGCTCCCTGCGTGTGGCCTGGGAAAGCAGTCAATGAGAGCCCAAGGCCTTGGGGCCCTGCACTCACATGGGAGACCTGGAAGAGGCTCCTGTCTCCTGGTTTCGAAGCCACTCTGCTCTGACCATCATGGCTGCTTGGGGAGTGAATCATCAGATGGAAGATCTTCCTCTCTGTCTCTCCTCTGTATATCTGACTTTCCAATGAAAATAAATCAATACATTTTTAAGAAAAAGTAAAACACTGGACCGTCCCCGGTCCTCATTTGAGAGTAGAAGTGGTTTTGGAGCCTTAATGACAAGAGGATGGGAAGCTAAGCGAGGCTGGTGGCTCCAGCCTTGAACAGAACATTAGTGGATTCCAAAGTGTGGTGAATATCACATTCCCTGTGGAACGCTTGCAAATCCTCAATTTTCTTCCATCCCCACTTGTCTCCCCAAGCCCCAGCCCACAGCCTCCTCCCTCACTGCACAGTGGAACCTCTCTTACTACCAGGAGTGGGTCTGCCTGCCTGGAATGTTGGAACCAGGAGGTCTAGCACAATTTTAGGACCACTCTGTAAGAATATAAACATAAAACGTCTGCAGCCAATATAAAATGTACCCAGCACTCCTGTGCCACATACAGATCTAGCTCATTCTTCTCAATAATTACACACTACTTGAGTGCATGAAGGCACTCTAATTTATTTACTCACCCCCCATGGAGACAACCAGATGGTGTTGTCCCAGCCTCTTGCTGTGACATACATTGCACGAGTGTGCGTGATTTTCAATTTTCACCAAAATAAATCTACTTTTTAATTCTAATCCCATGAACTCAAACTTCCCTTGAATATCATTTCCCACACTCATGAATATCTCTTTAGGGAAAATTCCTAGAAGAAATGTTCATGACTTTAGGAGTTTGTATATTTGTAGATTTCATAAATTTTATACATTACCTTCTGGAGAAGTCATCCCAACTTATATTCCCAGAAGCCGGATATAAGAGAAACTACTTCCCATGCTCTTGGGGATATGGTATCATTAACAATATTGTTTTATCTTTGTCAATTTGGTAGTGAAAAATTGCATCTTTATTATGATAGGTGAGTGTCATTTCCTCATGGTTGAGTGTGTGTGTGTGATCTGTTCACATCCTTTGCTCATCTTTTTCTGATTTGTAGAAATATTTTATAATTTTGAGAACTAAGCCCCTTGACTATAACACATGTTGTAAACATCTTCTCAATCGTTTATTAACTTTTTGCTAGTCCTTTATTACATTCATATCATATAGATTTTTTTATTTTAAGATTTGCTCTGGGCCCAGTACGGTAGCATAGCAGCTGAGGTACTTGCCTTGCATGTACCAGGATACCATATGGGTGCCAGTTCGTGTCTAGGCTGCTCCACTTCCCATCCAGTTCCCTTTTTGTGGCCTGGTAAAGCAGTAGAGGATGGCCCAAAGTTTTGGAACTCTGTATCTGCGTTGGAGATTGGGAAGAATCTCCTAGCTCCTGGCTTTGGATTGGCTAAGCTCCAACCGTGGCAGCTACTTGGGGAGTGAACCAGCGAATGGAAGATCCTTCTCTCTGTCTGTCCTCTCTGTAAATCTGACTTTCCAAGAAAAATTAATAAATCTTAAAAAAATTATTTGTTCTAATTCACCAGAAAACCAGAGTTGCAGAGATGGAGAGAGAGCGACTTCTCTCATCCACTGGTTCACTCCCCACATGGCCATAATGGCCTGGGCTGGTCTGAAACTGGGAGCCAGGAACTTCTTCTTTCTGGGTCTCCCATGTAGGTGCACGGACCCGAGGCCTTGAGCCATCTTCCACTGCTTTCCCAGGCCATTAGCAATCAACTGGATCAGAAATGGAGGAGCTGGGAATCAAACCGATGCCCATGTGGGATGCTGGCCTTGCAGGTAGATGATTAGCAGCATGTCATGTTACACCACTGTACATTGGCCTGTATAGACCTTATTTTTAAATGTTACAAATGTATTTTGCCAAATGTGACCTGTCTTGGCTATGGTTATTGGTAAAGGTTCCTTTAAAATAATGGTATTTAAACAGAAACCTACATTTCACACAAAGAGTTGACTACTAGGAGGCTCTGAGGCAGGAGCACACTTGGTGTGTTGGAAGAACTGAAAGAAGCCCCGTGAACACAGCACACAAGAAGGAAATGGCCTTCCTGTGAGAGTGAAAGACAGGGAGAGAAAGACTTTCCATGCCCTGGTTTACTTCCTAAGTGCCCAACAAGCCAAGATTGGTCCAGGCTGAAGCCAGGAGTCAGGAGCCAAGAACTCCATCAGGTGGCCAATGTAGGTGACAAGAACCCAAGTCCTTAGACAGTCACCTGCTGCCTAGCAGGATGAGCACAGAGCAGGAAGGGGAAGCTGATCCCAGGCACTCCATCATGGGATGTGGGATCCCAAGCAGCGGCTTAACATGCTGCACCACCATGCCTGCCCCCAAATGGATGTACTAATAATTATCCTAATCTAGGCTACAATGAATTTCCACAATCTTCCTTAGTGAGTTGCAAGTCCTTGGAATTCACAGAGGTAACTCAAATATGTTTGTTCAATTGGTTGACATTTATCTCTCTTCAAGATTCCAAGAGTTTTCTGTGGTTTCACAACTCCAGTTTTTTTCTTTATGCTTTATTTCTTCCTTTTCTATTATTTTTTAAAGACTTATTTTATTTTTATTGCAAAGTCAGATATACAGAGAGGAAGAGAGACAGAGAGGAAGATCTTCTGTCCAATGATTCACTCCCCAAGTGACTACAATAGCTGGTGCTGTTCCAATCTGAAACTAGGAGCCAGAAACTTCCTCCAGGTCTCCCACACAGGTGCAGGGTCCCAAGGCTTTGGGCCGTTCTTGACTGCCTTTCCAGACTACAAGCAGGTTGCTGGATGGGAGGTGGAGCTGCTGGGATTAGAACTGGCGCCCATGTGGGATCCTGGCACATACAAGGCAAACCCACCGCACTGGGCCCTTCCTTTTCTATTCTTAACTGTACTTTCTGCCTTTCTTTCATTATCCTCATTCATGTTATTGTACTATCAATGGTTTATTCTTTACGGATAGCATTAAAGACCAATGCTATGCTATTTATGCAGAAATTTCTATTTTCAATGACACCTGTTTCATATACATGGCTTGCACATACCTGACAGTAAAAGCCTTTTTGACCCAGGAAACCCTCAGGACAGAAACCATGTCTTTCCATCCCTGTTATATGCTGGTATCAAGACAAAGATCCACTAAGCGCTTGGTAAACAGGCATTACTAATATGCATTCAAAGACTGTTTTGCAAAACAGCTACTTGCTGATATTTCAGTCTCCACTTAACAGGTGAGATTTAGAAACAGAGAGGGTGAAGACTGGCCAATTGAATCAAGATAGGAAATTGGTTCGGGAACCTTCCTCCTATAGCTGAGTTAAAGCCCCAGTTCAAGATAAGATCACCAATGCAAAGTGCAGCGGAAAGGATGCAGAAGGGCATGGAAATAAAACAACCATGTTCAGGATCTAGTGCGATGGCTCAATTGGCTAATCCTCCCCTAGCAAGCACCAGCATCCCTGTGGGTATTGGTTGGTGTCCAGGCTGCTCTACTTCTCATCCAACTTCCTCCTCACAAGCAGCGTAGGATGGCCTAAAGGAAAGCAACCTAAGGATTTGGAACCTGCATCCATGTGGAAGACCCAGAAAAGGCTTCTGGTTCCTGGCTTTAGATCAGCTCAGCACCAGCCATTGTGGTCTTTTGGAAAGTGAACCAGCAGATGGAAGATCTTTCTCTCTGTCTCTCCTTCTCTCTGTAAATCTACCTTTCCAATAAAAAAATATTTTAAAAAAGAAAACACTTTCAGCTATAGAATCCTTATATTATATATACTTACATTATATATCCTATTCGGAGCCAAACTCAGTCACACCACTGATTAATAATTAGGTAGGGAGCCAGGAAGGGATCCAAAAGAACCACTAAACACAGGTCAACACTTCCTGCTGGTAACCTAGCAGGCTCATCATGCTTTCGGTTGCTTTAATCTATATCCAAAATGTCACTGAATCCCAAAACTTCCTATTGTAATCTTTTGAACCCAATCTATTATCAATTCTTGGTCCGATACACTCCTATGATTAGCATCCATAATGACATTGGTAGCAAAAATACTGTTATATGGCTTCCACCCTTGACTATTCAAAGAACATGTAAAAGCCCCAATCAGTGGCTCACTAGTCATTGCAGCTGTACTATTAAAACTAGTAAGGTATGGCATGGTAAGAATTACCACTACCCTGAACCCTCTTAACAAGCTTTCTGACTTACGCATTCCTAGCATTATCCTAATGTGGAATAATCATGACAAGTTCAATTTACCTACTCCAGAAATGGTCTCGTATCATTAACGGCTTATTTATCAGTTAGCCATATAGCAGTAGTAATCGCAGCAACTCTTATCCAAACCCAAGGAACACTTTAAAAGCCACAGGCAGGTTATATGATACTGAGTTAGAAAGAAGTAGTTAGAGGAGGGATTTTCGACACCGAAATG